GTTTAGAATATAAGATCTTTTTCTTTTAAACTTGCGTTTGTTAATGAGATATCGCAAAAATGTTAGAATTTTATGTAACATTTGACGAGCTTAAAGAAAAATTGGATGAGGAAGCACCGAATAAATATACCAATGCACTTGATTTTCTGACCAAGCTTAAGTTCATTATGGCAAAGTTGACGGTAAGACCGACATATGCTCATCAAACAATTTTCTAATAACTAACATGCAAATTAATACAGATAAGTGACTGGACATCCCTGTACGAAAGCATATTACGAAGCAAAGTTAAGAAATTTAAGAAGCTAGTCCCGTTAGTTGTGGCTTACGGTCATGAGTTTATTGAATCTGCTTCACAAATTGGAAACAATAATTATGATGAAAATAGACTCGACTCTCAAACTGTTGTACAATATCTCGTCGTAAGTTATGCTTGCTACAATGTTCGGAGTATTGATTTCTGCTTTTTGGCAGTAACGTTGCTGACAGATTCAATCTCTGTTGGTAGGATCATAATACTGGAACGTTTATTAACGATTATGAGATACCTATGTTGAAAACTCTGAATAACTCTACTATACTTTTACCGGATGCCAATATAGCTTTAGCAAATAAGACTGAGGAGGGTTCGGTTGAGCAATTCAGAATTCTTTTAACATTTTTCGAAAATCATTGTGGAAAACGTTCGTTTGCCAAATATGACTCTAAATGGCTGAATGACTATAGCCAATTTATCAGTGAAATTATAAACCGACGTTGTGCTCGTGTTGAAAAATGGCTTAGTGCAAACCTCCAACCATATCAACAAGATCACCAAGAAGTTGTACAAACCAAGCAGGAACTCGAAAAAGAAATCATTCAGCTCAAACAACGTTGGACTTTATGTGAGAAAGCTTGCAACAACAATGGATGTACTTTACCATGTTTAAAGAACAAACATCAAGATTCGGAACATAACTGTATGACAGATCATAAATGTCATTCACCTTGCGATTTTGTGGGGGATCATGCCAAAGGCGATAAACTACCATCGTGTCAACATCCCGCTGGACATGCGGGAAAACACGTTTGCGAATCAAACCATACATGCCCTCATGAATGCAAGTACAGTTTGAAGAAGGGTTGTCTTAAGAGATGTGCAAGGGAAGATAACCACGAAGGAGGTCATTTGTGTCCGGGGAAACATTCCTGCGGTGAAAAATGCTCTTTATCAGCTTCCAATTTATGTAATTGTACGGGACTTTGTGTGACTCCTTGTGAAGAAGATCATGACGTTCATAAATGCGAGTCTCGAGGTTGTCCCATTGTCTGTTGCATTGATGGATGTAAAAGACTGTGTCAGAGTCTAGATCATCTCCATGCTCTTGATATTGGAGCAGGCTTGCTGGAAGATCATATGTGTGGGTAAGTCACCAAGATAGTTACTTGATCATATGCATAATATTAATATGTGAAAGCTAATATAATACTGCCATTTACTAGGCACGCGCACCCATGTAATAATAAATGTGAGAAGATAGGTATCTGTAAGGTCGACACCACAAGGGAAACGAAAACTTACACAAATAGTTATGGGGAGTTTTCTTACGAAGAGGTAAGATTTTTCTTTGCGCTTACTGATATTTAACGGCGTGATTAACCGATTCTGAAACAATATTTATGAAGCGCTCACAACAAGAAAGGAGGCTCGATTGCGATCTTATAATTCCGCCAAATAGACTAAAGCACGATGGTCCTCACGAATGTAAAGATAGCCACAGGTGTGCGCAACGATGTCCTTACTGCGAATTTTATGTAAGTTCACAGATCATTAAACAATACTCAAGGAACGCACAGTAATACTAATGATGATATTGTGCCATTAGTGTCATAACAAATATGGTCATCAGGGACCACATGAAACTGCTCACGGGAGCATGAGGCCAATGGTTTGGGTAGGCATTACCAAAACTATCAGTTATAAAAAGCATACGTTTAGGAGTGGAGATTCAGGTAGTCCTGTCTACTGCGACATGGTAAGTGAATAAAGTTATTACGTGACGATGTATAGTGATTCATAATAGTAATTATACTTATGCGACAGCTGTGCAAAGATGCCGATCGTCATCTTCATGTCGATTACTGTCTCGACGAAAAGACATGTATGGCAAAATCAGAATCAACTAAGCGGAAGGATCAAATAGAACACATTTATGGTAGTTACATGGCTGTTTACTCTTGTAATTTGAATTGGTTTGTAATATTTTCGGTTTTTGATCCGCAACTGCGTTTTCAGATAAAATTGAGCCTTATCCACGCATGGCAAAAGACTATATCTCACATCGTCTATATTGGAATCGTTCAGGTTTCCGAGGTATGGTTCAGCTTGTAGCAATCATATGTCTAGCATTGGTACTGACTTCGATATTATGTAGACCCTTATGAATCAGCCGACGAACAGAAACTCTTTGCAAGTTGTGTACATCTTTGTGGCGGTGATGTACATTCTAACAAGGATAAATATTATTGTAAACTGCCATTATTTCATGAACTTGTTGACTATAACACACAAGTGGCAAGTGGTTCTATCTCGAAGGACGGTCATCACTTTGAGTGTTCACATTACGCCTCATATCATATTGTCTTCGTTATCGATAAATCCGGGTCGATGTCCACCGCTGATAAAACGCCCGACGACAGCATTGGATCTTACAAAATTATACAGACACATAACAATCGACTTGGTTCAGTCTATGAATGCGTGAAACAATTTATTAGAACACGATGTGGAGTGAACGGGACAAATCAAATTTGTGACGATATAATGTCCTTTATACTGTTTGACGAAGAACCGAATGTAGTCATGCAGAACCGAAAATTTGAGTATGACGATAGCTTAATTGATAATCTTTGTCAATATCAGGCCGGTGGCGGTACCAATTATGTCAAAGCTATTACTGCAGCTGGTAATCTTATTCAGAGATATAAGCAACAGTCCAGGTGAGAATTATTATTAGATTAGAGTACATGGTTCGATAATGCTAATAGATGTATCTTTTTAGGGTGAATTTGATCATATTTATGTCCGATGGTCTTTGTAAGGTCCCAAGGAAAGAACTCGAAGATATATGCAGCCGAGGCGAGGCCGAACAGTAAGTAGAATTACTAAATGGTAACATTTGCTGTGTTCTATTGTCTATATATTGGCTCTCAACCTCGCTTTCATTACAACCAGGTCTCCTGTTTACCTATATACAGTTTTTTTTGCTGCCGATTCAGGTAAGTTCTGCGTTTATTAAGGTATATGTTTAGAACATCCTCACCAAATGGAATCTTTAATTACGATATTACTGTATTACTGTAGGCAGTGGATCAACATCTTGGGATAGATATTTTACTGGAGGCGATGGGTCATCACTTCAAGAGATGGTGAATATTGCATCTAAATATGCTCCGCAGACAGCCGTAGGGCTTAAGTGTGAATGTGTATCGGTATCATCTACACTCGCATTGAAAGATTACTTTGTGGGTATTGCACAGAGCATAAAAAAACATCAGCCGACGCTTATCAGGGGGTAATGGACGAATAATTCTACGATTTGGGATTGCTAAAAGCCGTATGCTAATATTGAGACAGCGAAGCTTGACTATCCCAGATTATCATTATTTCACTTCCGCGTCAAATTCTACAAGACCGTTAATAGTAAATCAATGATTTTAAATTGACCGATTTTCCAATTTACTGTGTTGGTCACCGTTTAATAAATCTCGTCAAAACATTATTTATACTCAAAGATTTTTTTTAGCGTAACATAAGCCTGTTCCTACAGATAGTATACTTAATGTCCAGGGAGATAACAGACGTACATTTAAGAATTATCTCACAGTAAGAGAAGTTAACGTGCAAATATGTCAATCTAGTCAATAATAAATAGCTGTTCTTTTCATAGTGGTAAATACTGTATTGTGAAATATAAATGTTTGTGAGATTATTGTTGGCTTGATTTATTAAGATGAATATTGGTTATTGTAGTATTTGTTACAAGGTATGAGTGACTATTGCTGTAAATATATTAATGAACTTTCGTCATGGCTTTCTTTTATAAACAGCACTTATATGCCCACCAATAGTGTCTTGAATATTGCCTGACGTTCTAGTTTTTACCAAACAAGACGGAATTAAAATTTGGGTTAATATGCAAATCAAAAATCGAAGCAACACCTGTACCTTTTACATACTATGAGGAATTATGACTATCATTGTCGCGTTATCATACAATTTATACAATTTACATCCACACGCGCAATTAAAGAGTCAACGATAGACATTTTTAGAAAAATGCTTTCCCATGGTTTGGCAACGACAAATATTATTTTAGGGCTGGATAATTGCCTTTCATATAGCACAGAATGATTAAAGGTGAAATCAATAATAGTCATAGTCTGATAATAGTCATTAAGAAAGATTTCGTCGCTCTAGATAACGACTTCACTCCATGTTTTTCGTTCCTGACACAACTGAAGGAATTCCTTCCTAACGCGACTATGAGAACTAGTTTCATTCGAACGGCTCCCTGAATAAACGAACTTTGCTTACTTGGCTTAATTTTCGAGCTATGTAGCGGACATTCGGTCGACCTTAATATTAATATGTTGGCCGCCCCAGGTTAAACCGCTGCCAAGAGCATCAACCTCTAATAAAGAGCAAACATTTACATTCCCACTGCCTCAATTATTCTTCTTAGGCATCTGTAAGCTCCCTATTCAATCGAAAGGTGTTAAAGGTTTAGGATGCTGATATTTTGTATATCTGCCAGTTAGAATTCTTGGTCACGTTTTGCTCGAGTTGTGACTGATATAAATCTTCGTTCGCACCTCGCGGTTCATTATCTGGTAGAAAGCCCAAATTCGCTTGCCAATATCTTTATCCTGTAACACAAGGTAAAGCCCTTCTGGTTCACAATACAGAATGGTAGTTTTTACATTCTAACGAGCGTATTAATCCTAAGAAACATACCAAAATGTCACATCATCCATCGTATACAATGGCTGCGATTTGTAAGTGATAGTTATTAATTGTTTATTGGAGGACTCGTATAACTACTTTGCTTTACATCTTTTTGATTCACTATAGGTGCAACGGGGGGCATTATTGGTTATGCAAAAGCCCGGTCAGTCCCTTCGATTGTAGCAGGACTTGGTATTGGAGCAGCATATGCTATATCTGGGTAAGGCAATAAAGTAAGACATGTTGCATCATATTACTGGATCTTTTGATACATTATCAAATGTTGCGAAAATAAGATTCCGTATTAAGGAAGGAAAGGATTATGGTCAGGAAGGTGCCCTAGGTATTGCAAAGTACTCCTTGTGAATCAATTGCTCTTACTGTGAGATAATTCTTACGATTCACTTGTTTCAATTACAGCAACATCAGTTATCTTAGCTGGTTCAATGTTGCCTCGTGCCATTAAAGGCGGTAAGCCTATTCCCTGGACATTAAGTATACTATCCGTAGGAACAGGCTTATATTACGCTAAAAAAATCTACGAGTATAAATATGGTGTATGAAGATGCATCGACAAGTTACTGAGCGGTGAGTTGCAAACGCATTATTGATGAAAATTGTAAATTTGACCAATGTAAAAATCGTTGATTTACTATTAACGGTCTTGTAGAATTTGACGCACAAGTAAAATAGTGATACACTGGATAGTAAAATATTGATAATCTGGATAGTCAAAATATTTGCTGCCTTGATAATTGCATATGGGTTTAGAAATCAAAAATGTGGCAATTGTACGTCCGTTTACTTCATGATAAGCGTTGGCTGATGCTTTTTTATACTTTCCGCAATATTCACAAAGTGATCTTTCAATGCGAGTGTAGACGGGACTGATACGAATTGACACTTGAGCCCTTTGGCCGGAGCATATTTAGATGCAATATCCACCATCTCTTGAAGCGATGATGCATCGCCTATAGTAATACGTATAAATAAGAACCACAAGCAAGGATTTCATTTCGCGACCAAGATAATCGTAGAACTTACCTGAAGTGTCAGCAAAATATACTGTATATAGGTAAACAGGAGACCTGGTTGTAATGAAAGCGAGATTGTGAGCCGGTGTATGGACAATAGAACATAGCAAATAACGTACTTACTGTTCGTCTTTGCCTCGTTTACAAATCTGTTCGAGCTCCGTCCTTGG